AGACCAGGCTGGCCTCGAACTCACAGAGATCCGCCTGCCTCTGCCTCCCGAGTGCTGGGATTAAAGGCGTGCACCACCATAGCCCGGCAGCCCTATTTCTTATACAAACAAATTCCATTTTTGTAAAAAGTAGCAGCATTTTTCATGGGCAGTGATGGTTTTATATATATATGAATATATATATATATACACACACACATATATGTGCCTACAGCTTTGATTTTCTATGCTTCTCTTTGGATAAGGTTCTCTCTCTCTCTCTCTCTCTCTCTCTCTCTCTCTCTCTCTCTCTCTCTCTCTCTCTCTCCTATTTAGAATAGTGTGGGAGTCCAGCTCCTACCTTTTGAAGGGTTCTTAGGTGGAGGAGAGAAGAATGAGGAAATATCAGATAGAAAGAGAGACCTAGACGATGAGAAGAAAGACAGAAACACAAGATAGCATCAGGAGGGCCTAGATCAGTACCCAACAGCCTCATCCTTTATTGAAAAGGACTTTTTATAACATGCCAAGGGGAGAGGCAAAAGACCTTCTCCTTGCAAGATCAAAGCACTATGTACAGCCAAGTGTAGACCCTTCCAAACACCTGGGAAACACACCCGTGACCAAATCATCCCATTATGCAGCCCTGCTGTGGTAAAGCAAGCCCAGATTCTTTGACCCTGAGTAAGTTCTCACTAGAAAACCTCTGTGGGTCTCCACAGAATAGCATTTTAATTTTTTTCCAATTTTAATATCTGACAGTTTTATACATTTATATAATTATTTTAGTCATTTCACTCCCCTCACCCCCTCTTCATCCTTCCCCCTGGCACCCTTTTCCTCAAAGAGTTCCCTCCTGTTTTCCCAGCTTCCTTTTGTGTGTGGCCCACCAGGTTTAGAGTCACTTGATGGAATGCTATTCAGTAGAGCAAGGGCTATTTATCTGTGACTCTGCCATAATTTTGAGGGTCCTAAAACTAAGGCTGGGCTGGCAAGATGGCTCAGCAGGGAAAAGCACTTGCTGCCAAACTTGACAGCCTGAGTTTGATCCCTGAGACCTACATGGTGGAAGAAGATAATCCATTCCAGCAAGTTGTCCTGACTTCCACATGTGTGCCCTGACACATGTGCACATACACATAAGTACATACAAAATAAATGCAACCAAAAAATAAAGTTAATTCTTAGAAAGAAATATTAAGATACTCACAGCTCAGGAGAGCTAGGGATAACAAAAGTCCACCACATCACTGTGATTCTTCTATGCCAAAGTCACCCAAGGAGACTGGGTATAAACACCCCTGTAGACATGACTCTATCCAAGCAGGGTAGTATAGCACAGTGCTTATAATTATGGGCTGGTTTCCAATTCTCCATGGCCATTTACCAAGCTGTTTGATTCTGGGCGAGTCACTTAGTGTCTGTGTCTTAGTCTCAACTATGAAGCAAAGATGAAAGGCATTTTGTGGGACTTTCAGGGGAACCACTGTGTGTCAAACACTAACACTGTCAGGCCAATAGTAGTAAGCCAAAACTATTCATGTTCTTGTCAGAAAGCAATGGGTCATCTTATTAATGTTTGCCTTTTACACTCGGAAGTGCTGTGATCCCTCCAGAGGCTTTAGATCTCTGTCCCCATCTCCCATAACCTCCCAGGCCTTTTCTCAATTCTCATTTTTGACATTGGTTCCTCCATTAAACTAAAAACTCTGACATCAAAGAGGGGTGAACCTCACCAGGGATTAGCCAAATCCAGAATCGAAAAGGGACAGACATTGTCCTGGGCCAAGCCTGGAGGTGTGTGACTTTGACCACACCCCTGAGCTTCTCTTGTCTGTATAAATGGGTATAACTATACCTCTCAGGCCTACTCAGGGTTGTTGCAAGAATCCATTCCAACCTCTGCAGGCAGTCAGCATGGGGTGGGATTTCGAAAAATCTATCGGAATCTGCAGTTCCCTAATCTGAGCCACCTGAACTGAAGTCATGCTTGCCTGTTTATGGTATCCTCTGGCCATATCACAAGACTGGTCCTCAGATACATGTTGAATAAAGGAATAAATAATTGAAAGATAATACCAACCCCCATCTAGGGATGGTATTAGCCTAATTGCCTTATGGCTAATCACTCAGGCAGATCATTCTCCAAAACTCTTTTTTTTTTTTTTTGGTAGAAAAAGTAGGGCCCCATCAGTTCTGAGTCTCTAATATTGCTAATCCCTGCTACTAAATTGGCCCAAATGAAAGCTACATTCTACATGCTTATAATAGTGCTTTCTTTTTAGTTTTAGTTTGGCAGGATTTTTACGTCATGGATTAGTGCTGGGTGCCAGCATGAGCCGTTAGTTTATATCTCTTCATGGATTTTTCAAGAAGAAAGTGTAACTCAGATCGCCTGCATTGGATTCAGCCACATAGCATGAAATCTTTTGGGGGCATCTTGTGAATGCTTTAAAAATAGTTCTCATGCAGGGTGTAACTGGAATCATGCAGCGGCATGGAGGGGAACCTCTTGCCTCTGTATGCGCCAGCTCTCTCAGGGGAAATGGAGTAAAATTGCTTCGTTAGTGAATTGAGAATAACCTTTGGCATTGATGATCGTGTGATAGCCGGGGAGAGGCTTCCTCACTCACTGAAGAATGAATTCTCATTAGATTTGGAAAGTCCTGCACACATTTACAACATTTAGAGTCTTTAGAATGTGCTAGAAGAAAGACCTGAAAACATTTTGTAATTAAAACGTTAGCAAAACCAAAAAGATTTCAGTTATTCACTGAGGAAATAGTTGCAAGGAACCTTCCTGAGAAAAATCCTCTATCCTGTTATATTGCTGAATTCTTTCTCTGGTATATGAACTTGAAGAAAATACGCATTTATTTTGGGGGTAACTGAGAGCTGTCTAGTTGGAGTTAAGGCTAACTCAAGAGGAGGGAATTCATGTCTGGTAATGTAAACCCCGTCTACTGGCTGCCGCTGCATGTCATAAACCAAAAGGAAAACTTAACTACAGTCATTTTTCTAAATCACTGTAATTTCTGTCTGTATTCAAGAGACTTATCCTTGCCCCCACAGATGGGTGTAGCTCTCCCCGCTTCATCCAAAAAGTCTCCCTTTGGAACAGATGGAAGCGATTACAGAAATCCCAATTGGTCCAGTTTCATAGAATGAGTGATTATGGGGTACCTAAGCCCGGCCAAAAGATCTGCAATGCCACCCCTAAGTCACTGGAAGGAGAGGGGGCAGAAAGCTTGTAAGGTCCTGCAGACCAGGACATCTGCTGTGGAATATGACAGAGACATTGCATCCATGAACTTCACCCCAGGACCAGCATAGTGTCAACCCCAGCTAGCATGCTAACACGGACAGGGAAACTCCACATGGCTTCACCCATGCGCTCCAGGAAGACCCACAAGCAATTAAGGATTGCTGAGGGAGGGGGACTCGGTCTAGTCCAGGGGTGAGCTCCCACAAACGTCCAGTCCCAAGTGTTCAGGCCTGGACGTGTGTACATGCGAGCAAAACTAAATGGACTAAGTGGGTTATCTATACACATAATAATAATAATAATAATAATAATAATAATAATAATAATAATAGTAATAATAGTAATAAAAAGAAGAGAGCATGAATTTGGAAGAGGATATGGGAAGAGTTAGAGGAAGAGAAGAAGAGGCAAACGTGATAATAGATGCAGTGTTTATGTATGAGGGTCTCAAAAAAATAAAAGTACTACATTAAAAAAAATTAGACATTTGAATATTGGAATTGGGAAGGTGACAGGAAACAGGACAGTCAGATGAGCACCAAGTTTCTCAGTGGTGAGTTTGAAGAGCGGGCCTTTGTTAGCCTTGCTGATTGCTAGACCTTATTTAAAACTGAGGGGGAAAAATCCTGTTTCGTTCAGGTGGAAAGTGACATGCTGGATGATGGATTTTCTTAGTTAAGGAAGGTGCAAGAGGTACCAGGCTTGTGTTAGCTGTTGCTCCCTGATGGATTTTTGTCTTCACAGAAGCTTGTAGTGTGAGCAAAGCCATCTTGTAAGTAGTAGCTTGTCATAAATTAGATTTGCCCTGGGGTGACGCTCACGTACATACACACATAAATTTTTTTCTTTAAAAGTACGAGCCGCTGGTTTACAGAATACATAAAAAGAAATGCTCGTGTAAACCTTGAGATGTCTCAAGTTCATTGTGGCTTCCTGACCTCCAGAGAAGGGCTGTGCTGACTGTGGAGGTGTGCCTATGTACAGTGCCACAAACAGGAGACAGAACTGTTCTCGGTGGCTGGAAGCACCAGCAGTGCATCCAAGTTGAGCATCCCATTCATCAGAACAAACATCAAATGCAAATGCTAAGTTTCGTGTCTTTGGTAAAGATGGAGTGGAAGGCACGGATGAGGCTAAGATTACAGGGCTCCAATCTGATGTTTCCGTTGGTTGCTTAAATAAAATTCTAGCATATACATGGTATATTGGAATATTGATTCAACCCTCCCACAGATCTTAACTTTTACCATAAGTAGAGGTCTGTAGTAAGGGCACAGAGCAGAATTAATTCTTACCCCAACCCTCAAGTTAAAAAGCAATTACTCCAAGTATACAAATAGCACAAAGCAAACAAACAATGTCAGCCCAGAAACTTGAAGCGAAAGATGACAAAGCCCTCTCTTCTGTTTACACAGGATCCATGTGGTCATCGCCTCTGTGGATCTGGGCATTGCTCCCACCTGTGATTTCACCCATCCCTTCAGGTCCAGTTCTGTTTACGGAGCTTCTCTCCCTCCGTCGGGGCTTACCCAAGAACAACTCAACTGCCTTTTTTGGGAAACAGTCACCAGCTCCACGGATCCCAGAGTGTCCAGTTGTCATCTCTGGCAGGAATCCTAACTGTAAATGTTAGCTTTGGCGGTGTGCCAGTTCAAGACTTCAAAATTGCTCTGCCCCCGGCCCCAGTTCAGGAGCCACACTGTGCCGAGGGTCAGCTTCCTAAGCTTGCTTCCTTTTCTGATCCTGCCTGTCGCGGGCCAAAGGCACGTGGCAGATTCGGCATTATTGCTCTGCAGTGCGGTCCTTAGCACGCCCTCCTTCCAACACAGCATCCGGGGAGAGGAAGGTGGAAGGATAAAGTGGGACTCCGAGAAAGCAGTGAGCCCTTCTGGCCTCTGAGTATTCCACTGTGAAGGCGATAATAGGTTTTAACTTCACCCGATTGTCAGGAGGATTAAATGGGTAAGTGTATGGCACAGAATCATGCAGTACACATTATTGGGGTCTCCTAGCCTTCCCAGTTGCCCACTCCAATTACTAAGTTTTCACACTTGTGTACCTGAACAGTTTACAAACTTAGCTCCTAAAATCTCCTCTGCGGTATTCGTCGCTGAGCTCCCCCAGATGGTCCACGGACAGTGGACAATTTCTATTATTAGCGCAGTGTCCATGAAAGCGGTTCTCACAGGTGAGCTCGGGCATCTCTGACAGTCTATGTCCAAGAGCTGATGACTCCAGGAAAGTCTGAAATCAGAGTAAGCTTTGGCTGAGCGCGGGTTACGCACCCGACATTAGGCCAGGTCATGTAAGACAAACGTGTCCCAATGTCCTGCGGCAGGTAGTGTTGAGAATCAGAACTATGTTTCTGTACTTCCTTTAAATACCTAGTAAAAATGGTTTCCATCAAAATGGACGCCCTAGTTTCTTTGTGTGTGATGATAAGGTCAGCCCATGCTGTCTTGAACGATCCGAGCTTCCTCTCAAAGCCAGGGCACAGTGGTTGAAAAACGTGAATATAGTTCCAGATAGGAGCAGCTTACTGTCAGCACTCAAGAGAGAGAAATTACCTGAAAAAAGAAGACACACCACCGTAGCTTTGCTGGAAGCTGCATGGCGGTTTCCAACATCAGCTTTGTACCTCATCTTTGAATTGTTGCAATGTGTTTAGATTTTTGTTTGAAGCCAGGTTATAATAATGAACGGATGAATTAAGACAACACCAGGAACAAGATGGAGTTAACACTGGGTCTTTCAAAGCTGCTGATGGAACATTTAGTTTCTCTGTAAATATTTGGTGACGAAGTCTCTTTTCTTCCTGAGAGAGGTAAATATGCCACTCATTCCAAAGTGACTGCACAGGGGGTGAAATTATCCACAAAATTTAGCTCAGTGTGAGTCTGAAGTAATCACTTCCATATACAATTAGGCTTACTGATCCAGGTTGTTTGCAATTTTTTTTTGGTATATAAATGACTAATGAGAGAGAGTGTGTATATTGCACAATCCATGTTTCCATGCTAAAGAACAAAACAGTCTCAGTCCCACCACAGTCAATGTTATCGAAAGCAGAAACATCAAGGAAGTATATTATAGGTCTCCAATACTTCTTTGCATAAATATTTAAAGTTGGATGACACTTACAACTTAAAACAAACAAACAAACAAACAAACAAAAAACTGTAAAGGACGACTCATGAAAAAAAAAAACTGCCTTTGGCAGCAGCCTAGACGGAAATGAATGCCCTTCTCAAGGTCACTCCAGGAATTAACAGCAAATGGGAATTCCGGTCACAATGACTTGGGTCACTCAGTCTCACTGGTTTTGGGGTCTATGTGTGGAGCAATGCACACTCAACAGGGATAGTTCCCATCTGGTAAAGATGTCCTGCTTTGACAGCTCACAATGCCAATGCTTCAAGTCCTTGTTTCAGCCATCTCTCTCTGCCAAGCTGTTCTTACCCAAGCTAAATCTTCCAGTGCCTCTCACAGCCTGCCCAGCCCTTTACCTTTAACAGCTCCTGCTTCCTACCATCTTTTTTCCTTCCCATTTATGAATCTGTATAAAACTGTCCATCACTCACTTTACTTTTATTCTCACTGGACTTGGTCCCACTGGCCACAAAGCCCCGACAAGCCCGCCAGCAACTCCATTCTGCATTCTGAGAGGGATTTCATGTTCAGTTTTGAAAGCAGATGCATGAGCATTCATATCTGCTATTTCTTATTTCAATTATTTCTGAGCTGCTATCAAAGATTTAATGTTGACTGTGGGAACTTTATCTCTCTGGTCTGACACTTTGAAGACAAATTCCTTCATCCTGGATCATCCTGGGGAAGCATGCTATTAAGTCCCGGGTGGAAGGCTGGATATTACCTGACAGGCTCTTTGCTTGGGGTAACCTTTCCGAGGGCACACGGAGTGGAGGAATAAACACATAAAGTAACTGAAGGAGAAAGTGATTTGATTTCCATTCTGCTTAAGCAAAGAGAGCTGCTACAGTAAGCGTGTGCGGGCAGCTAAAAGATCAGACTCCCCCTCTCTCAACTGGCAAAAACACATTCGGTGGAAATACAAAAGAGAGAGAAACTCATTTTGATTCGGCTTCCTCAAGGAAATGAGGTCATCTCGCACATGGTTGTGCTCCTCCAGGTTCTCAACATCTCAGGTCCCCAGACACACTAACTGCTCCAAAGGAAAATGAGTTGAGGGGGCACCGAGTTAGGGACACGCCTCTTGAGCAGTCATTATGAAAAATAGACGGGGAGGGGGTTCTGATTTGAGATGGACCCGAGTAGCCCGAATGGGAACAGCCCCTCCATCCCATAAAATTACAAAGCCTGATTTAGAAAAACAAATCAAGCCCCCTGAAGACATCCAGGGGGCTGCGCTGTGTTTGAGGGTCTGAATTCTGAGCAGAAGGAAGCACAGCCAGAACCTGACATTTGGCTCCCCAGCTCTCCTGAGACACTGGCTGATTGATAAGCAGAGGCTGAAGTGGAGAGAAGCTAAGAGCAGCGCTGGCCGCCTCGCAGATGGATGAGACAAAAATTAGAGGATAAGTTCCACCAAAGAGGAAAGAAAGCTGGTTAAAAACCGCAGGCTCGCGCCGCATGGCTTCCCCTTACCATAACGGCTGGAACTTTGGGGCAGACAAGAAATAAGCCAGCCCTCTGGTAAACTGGAACGGGAGTGGAGTCATCTCAATCCCCAATTAGATTAAAGTGGCCTGCTTCTAACCTAATTGCATTATAGGAGCCGAAGCCTGCTGTCTGGGAGGAAGGCGACATCTCCCAGAGCCTTGAGTTGTCTCTATACTTTTCCAAAAACAGCATCTGCGGTTAATAAAGAGCTAGTAGGGAAAAGAACAACAGAAAAATATTTTTTGAATTTCAAAGGTTTTCAAAAATATCCCATAAGTTGGGCTGAAGGACAGCTCAGCTGGTAAAGTGTTTCTCTCATAAACATGAAGATATGAGCTTAATCTCCGGAACGCAAATAAAGTGCCAGACGTGGCGGCACACGTGGCACCCGGTGACCAGAAGCTGAGACAGGTGGATCCCTGGGGCTTAAAAGCCAGCCAGTTGAACCTAATTGGTGAACTTGAGGCTAATGAGAGACATTCTCTCCAAAAAAGAAACATTGTTTCTAAGACTGACACTCAAGATTGTCCTGTACCTACGTGTGTGCGTACGCACGTGCACGCGTGCGCGCGCGCGCGCGCGCGCGCACACACACCCACACCCACACCACATAACTGCACACATGCACACAGAGACACACAGACACACACATAGGAGCATAAAAAATTATAACCAAAGCATAACACACTAAAGAAAAAAATCCATGTACTGGACTTTTTAAAAAAAAATAAGATCTTTAGTTCTTGGAAGTTACTGTTAAGAGAATAAAAAGATAATAAAAATATTTGCAAGTATTGTCCCATTTCTGATAAAGGGCATGTGACCAGCATATACATTGCCATCATCTGAATGTGAGGTGTCCCCCACAAGCTCATGTGTTTGAACACTTGGTCCTCAGCTGGTGGCACTGTTTGGGAACGTTGCAGAGTTAGAGTTTTGATGTTTTTTTGTTTGTTAGTTTTTCGAGACAGGGTTTCTCTGTGTAATAGCTCTGGCTGTCCTGGAACTTGCTCTGTAGACCAAGGTGGACTTGAACTCACAGAGGTCCGTCTGCCTCTGCCTCCCAAGTGCTGGGATTAAAGGCGTGCGCCACTGCCACTGGTCTTGGTTGTAGGGTTTTTAGGAGATTTAGTCATGGAGCAGAAAGTGGGACACTGGAGTAGACCTTCAGGCTTCGTAGCCTGGTTCCACTTTCTGCTTTTGAGTATGAGGTCCACGTGACCAGCCAACCTCTTGCTCCTGTGTCTTCCCTGCCTGTGTGGTGGTGTCCCCATTGGGAAGGACCATGTCCCTCTGGAACCGTAAGCCAAAATGAGCTCTCTCCCCTTTGAGCTCTTTATATCATAGTATCTTATGAAAACAATGAGGAAGCAAGACACATATATGATATACACATTTACAGATATTCTTACACACACAGACTCACACACTCAACAGCAAGAAAAATCAATAATCTGTCTCCAAGAATAGGCAAGAGATTTGAAACGGCACCTCACAGCAAACAATATGTTGATAACTCTAATATGAAAATGTCCAATATTGTTAAGGAAATAGAAATTAAATTGATGATTGAAATAGAAATTAAAACCATAAGATTCACATCAGTTATAATGACTCTCCCAAGAATCCAAACAGAAAGATTGCAACAATGCAATTTGCAAAGCATTGCAAAGACTTGAACCTGCTGGGGTGGTGGTGCCTTGCTTCATGGTGTGGGGCTTGAACTCAGGGCCCTACATGCTAGGCAAGAATGCTGCCCAGCCCAGGTATTCCCATATTTTGCTGCTGAGAATGAAAAATATCAGAGATAGTTTGAAAGGAAAAAAATGTCTGCATTTTGTAATAAGCTTGCACTGGCACTTTAAATACAAGCTAATGATTTGATTCCTTTGCAGCTAATATGTTCATGTTAAATATCTCTATATGAATATTTATAAACATCCTAAACTAAAAGCAATCCAGATACAGACTTCGTCTAGGGGATGGATGAACAAACTGTAGGGAATCCTTTCAATGGGGTACTTACTGTTGAGCAACAAAAGGACGATCTGCTAACAGAGGCATCGGAGCAGGATGACTCCCAGGAGCAGCATGTGTACAGAAGTCAGCAACCAGAGGCTGTGTACTGTGTGATTCTATCTAAATGAAAGCTTAAGAGGGACAAGACCATGGGGTGGGGAGGGTGGGGCGGGCAGATGAGTAGAAGTGAAGAGAGAAATCACCCTACAAAGGAGACAGGTACATTTGAAGGGACGGTAAATTGTGCTAAATTTCGATGTGGAGATTATTACATGTTTGTATTATTTTTCTTCAGACTCTCTGAGCTAAATGTGTGTTTTAAGAAGAATTTTCAAGGAAACCCAATTAAAAACCCTGGACTTCACACATAAAACATATACAAGAGAAGTCTGAACAGTGAAAAAAACCAAACAAATCAACAAGGTACCTTGGATTATAAGAAAGACCACTGATTAACCACTATCAATTATGTGTAAATGATGTAATACTTCATAGTGTAATATAACGTGATGAGATAATTATAAGATCCATACAAAGAGGTCCACTTATTAGTTACAAATGAAATTCTAGTGAGTTCAAGTAACTCATATGGAGAAAGGGAATAAAACAGAGAAACAAGAACAAAATGGAAAAAAGGAGAACAAAATGTCAGACTGAAGTATCGTTGGGAGCACATTGTCGAGAGCAGGTAAGCTTCAAGAAGCAGGGCTGAGCAGAGAAACAGGCAATTCCTGTGG